TCTCTCAAATAAATAAATAAAATCTTAAAAAAAAAAAAATATATATATACATAAACACACACACCTTTGGAAGCTGCTAAGGTACTATCTCATTCTTTTGAAAACTAGTAATAAAAGGAAAAAAAATCCACCTTTCTGCCTTTCCTATACAAAATGTACCTACTGTACCTAATGATAACTAAACAGCTGATGTGAAGTTTCTCTTTATAAAAGTAGACCAGATAATAAATGAAGAAAGAATGATAGATTAGAATATCACCATTCTACAACTCACAATAAATGAAATGATCTAGGTAATGATTATCAATGGCTACTGGGAAAGAACATATTACTATTTCCCAATTCTTCATCCTTCTCGGTACCCATGCCCTTTGCCATGTGACTCAGTAGTTCTCCCAGCCATTAATGATGGGATGTCATGTGACTTGCTTCAGCCAGTGGAATATGCACAGACCTGATGCTGCACCTGCCAATGTCAAGTCTAGGCCTCAAGAGGCATCTCGCGTTTCTGCTTGCCGCTATTACATTTCTACCGTCACCAAGAGAAGAATGTGCCCTAGGTATACTGGTCTGGGGAAGGAGAGAGACAGGTGTAACAGACCTGGTCCCAACCTGCAGCTTGGAGACAATCCCAGCAAACTTGTATATAAGGCAACCCTCTGCTCAACTGCAGATCCATGAGCAGGAGCAAATGCGTATTTCTGAGTTGGGAGCAGTCTTTTATTTCACGTTCTTATAGTAAAAGCTAAATGACAGAGCTGGTAATATCACAAAATGTGAGACACAGGTATTACGTGTCTCCTGATGGAAGTATACACCACCACTAAAACTCAGCCTCCCCTCACCATCCCCCCCAAAAACCGAAACCAAAACAGAATAAATCCCAATGTGTCCAATTCCCTAGCTCTAACTACAAATTACAGGAAATTCAAGAGACTAGAGCAACATATTCAACACCTCCAATGGGATGTACCCAGCACCTGAGAAACTATAGGACGAAGGACCTAGTTTCTTCAAAATAAGCTGCAAGGGGGAAAAAGAGATGAACAGGAAAGCCTAAACAGGTTAAGTGACCTCAGGGACATATTAACAACTCAAAATGTGTGGATTTTTTAAGATCCTGATTCAAACAACCAAATTAGTATATTTTAATTATACATCAACTAGAAAAATTTGAACACTGACTAGATATTCAATAATATTAAGAAAGTCACTGTTACTGTTTTTTAGATGTGATAATGATATTGTAATGTTTAAAACAAAAGAGTGCTTATCTTTTAAAAACACATACGGAAATATTTATGGTTGAAATACAATGATGCTGTGATTTACTTCAAAACAACCCAATGAAAGAGAGGAATATAGATTTAACAAGACTGGTTATGAGTTGATTGTTGAGGCTGGGTGATGGGTTCGTGGAGGTTCATTATACTATTCTCTGTGTTTGGAATTACCCAAAATAAAGAGCTTAAAAAAAAAAAAAGCTGATAAAAGGGGGGAAAATATAAACGGGCACCAGAATGTCAAATCATATGATCCCAGAGACAAAGCAGCCATTACATTTTCCCCACTCACCTGTTCTGTTCTTCCGTTTTTCTCGCTCTGCTTTTAGCTCCTCCATGGCTTGAGATTTCTTATCTAGTTTCTCATCCCGTTTGGAACGCCGTTCCTTGTTGTGGGATGTTACCTGGGAAAGGAAAAATATGTAGGATGGTGCTTTTTATTAACAGCCAATGACCACATTCTCTATACCTAACAATCATTCAATTTTCCAGTGGGAATCTATATAGGCTGCAGAAACTGAAACTTGTTTAGGGGAAGAGAGCATCCTCTAGTGGACAAAGAGGATAGAGCATAAAGTCAGCTCCTGTCTTACCTGCCTAATAAATAGAAAGTCTAAGAATTACAGGAATAAACACCTTATGGAAGGCCACCCTAGATGGCTCATATTTGTGGATATTTTTAACAATCTTTTTGTGATGAATTCAGAGATGAATAATTTTTGCAGCTACATTTATTACCAAGTCCAGGATGACACACACGTGAGTAAACCTCAGAACTAATCCGGCTACCTGGGACAGGATGTTTATCAACTTTCCCTTAAGGAAGGAATGCTCACACACCAGTGAGCTGTTTTTTATTTTTTATTTTTTAAAGATTTTTATTTATTTATTTGACAGTGAGAGACCCAGTGAGAGAGGGAACACAAGCAGGGGGAGTGGGAGAGGGAGAAGCAGGCTTCCCGCCGAGCAGGGAGCCCGATGTGGGGCTCGATCCCAGGACGCTGAGATCACGACCTGAGCCGAAGGCAGGCGCTTAACGACTGAGCCACCCAGGCGCCCCCAGTGAGCTGTTTTTTAAAAAGCAGACCTGACTGAAGAATTACTAAGGAATTAAACAGCACAGCTAATGATGAAATGATATGTCCAGAGATTAGTGAACCTACAAGATAAAGACAGTATGTCTTGCATGAACTGAACTAGACTAATATAAAACCATCTTTTTTTTAATAAAACCATCTTTTACATAAACACACAAATACACACACACACACACACACACACACACACACCCAAAACTGAGGTTTATCTTTTGGATAACAAGGACCACTGAATTTCCTACCTGAGATTCTTGAATCTGTGTCAGCTTTTTCTTTTCCTGCTCCTCTTCTTGCTTTTTCTTTTTTTCTTTCTTTTCTTTCTTTTTGGCTGTTTTTAGTTTTTTCCTGATTTCAAATCTGGTTAAAAGATATTTGTTTGGGTTTTAGATGGCAGTGAAGTATGTACAAAAACTGATTTCTATTAGATAGGATAAAGGAAGTAAGTAGGGGGAAGGAGTTAAACATCTTGGTTTCCTGCAAGAAACTCCAATGTACCTTATAGGTACATTAAAAATAATGAAAGTAAGTATACCAGAAGTACTTGAAAGCATTAAGTTGGAATAGATTTAAAATGAGAGAAAATATTCAGGATACTATTGTACCCTGTTGATAACACACAGCTCTTCTTCAACCTTCATATAACATAGGAAAATAGTTGATTTCTGGATCAACTGCAATGCTGTCCCATTAGAAACAGAATGAAACCACAGAGAGCCACTGTCACATTTTTTTTTTAAAGATTTATTTCAGAGAGACAGAGAGCGGGGGAGAGGGACAGAGGGAGAGAGAATCCCAAGTGGACTCTGCGCTGAGCTTGGAGCCTGACATGGGCTTGATGTCATAACCCTGAGATCACAACCTAAGTCGAAACCAAGAGTCAGAAGCTCAACCGACTGAGCCACCCAGGTGCCCCCACTGTCACATTTTTTTTTTTAAGATTTATTTATTTGACAGAGAGAGACATAGCAAGAGAGGGAACACAAGCAGGGGGAGTGGGAGAGGGAGAAGTAGGCTTCCCGCGGAGCAGGGAGCCCGATGTGGGGCTCGATCCCAGGACCCTGGCATCATGACCTGAGCTGAAGGCAGACGCTTAATGACTGAGATACCCAGGCATCCCCCCACTGTCACATTTTTAAGGTGGTCAGGACAAAGACTGTACCTTTTTTTTTTTTTTAAAGATTTTATTTATTTGACAGAGAGAGACACAGCGAGAGAGGGAACACAAGCAGGGGGAGTGGGAGAGGGAGAAGCAGGCTCTCCGCTGAGCAGGGAGCCCGATGTGGGACTCGATCCCAGGACCCTGGGATCATGACCTGAGCCGAAGGCAGACGCTTAACGACTGAGCCACCCAGGCGTCCCAAAGACTGTATCTTAAAAACACCACTCTTGAGGTGCCTGGCTGGCTCAGTTGATGGAGCACATGATTCTTGAACTCCAGGTTGTGAGTTCGAGCTGCACAATGGGTGTAGAGATTATTTAAAAATAACATCTTAAAACAAAAATAAAAAAAACACCACTCTCCATCTTTCTTCATTAGGAAAAATGCCCTCCCCTTCACCTCCACACCAGCAAACATAATGAATAAATATGCTGTGAATAAATACACTATTCTCTTCAACAAATGCAATCTAGGCTCCTTCCCTGTAATAAAAATCAGGCTCTATGAAACAAAACTATTTTGGGGGTCATGAATTTAAGGAACATTACGGAAGGAATAAAGGAATATAATAAACATTAAACTTTTCATAACACTTTAACCCCAACTACCAATTTTTTTTACTTAATTTTTAACAGAGTACACAAATCTCTTTTGTTATGTCCTTTACACTCAAGATTAAGGTTGTTAATGTACTTTTGTAATATGACATAAAGGAGCACTGTTAATGAATTTACTTTATTTAGAAACACAGAGCAACATATTACTAAATAACCAATGGGTCAAAGAAGAAATCACAAGGGAAATTTGAAAATAATTTAAGGACTGAAAATGAATATACAACATAACAAAACTTACAGGATGTAGCTAAAGCAGTGCCTACAGGGAAATGCACAGCTATAAATGCCTATATTAAAAAAAAAGGTAGGGGTAGCTGGTTGGCTAGCTGGCTCAGGTGGTAGAACATGTGACTTTTGATCTTGGGGTTGTGAGTTCAAGCCCCATGTTGGGCACAGAGCTTACTTAACAACAACAAAAATTTCAAATCAGTAACTTAACCTCTACCTTAACAGAGTGGAAAAAGAAGAGCAAACTAAATGTACATCAAGTAGAAAAAAAGAATTAATAAAGATTAGAGCAGGAATTAACGAAAACACAGAACAGGAAAACAATAATTGATGGAACCAGAAGTTGCTTCTTAGAAAGATCAACCAAATTGACAAAACTTTGTCTAAATAGGCCAAGAAAAAATGACAGAAGATTCAAATTACTAAAATCAGGTATGAAAGAAGAGACATCACTATCGACCTTACAGAAACATAAAAGATACCATAAGGGAACACTATGAACAACTATATGGCAACAAAGTAGGTAATCTGGATGGAATGGGAAAAATCTCTAGAAGGCCACAAACCACCAAAACTGACTCAAGAAAAAATAGAAAAATCTGGATAGACCTGTAATAAGAGATTGAAATAGTAATTTTAAAAGTTCCCACAAAGAAAAGCCACATGGCTTCCCTGAAGAATTCTCCTAAACATTTAAAAAAGAACACACACCAATTCTTCACAAACTCTTTCAAAAAAGAGAAGAGGAAACACTTCTCAAATTATATTCTGTGAGGCCAGTATTATCCTGATACCAAAACCAGGCAACGAAATTACAAGAATTATGAATACTGACATAAAACTCAACAAAATAGTAGCAAATTAAATGCAGCAACTTATAAAAAGGATGATATACCATCACCAAGTAGGATTTATCCCAGATATGTAAGGTTGGTTCAATGTAAGAAAATCAATGTAATATACTTATTATTAATAAAGTACAAAAATCTCATGACTATCTCAACAGACCCAGAACAAGCATTTCACAAAATCCAACAACCTATCCTGATAAAAACTCTCAACAAACTAAGAATAGAAGGAAACTTCTTCAAATGGATAAAAGATATCTATGAAAAAACCACAGCTAATGATAAAACACTGGTTCCTCCACAGATCAGGAAGAAGACAAGGATACTCTCACCATTTCTACTCAACATCGTACTGGAGGACAAGAAAAAGAAATAGAAGGAATCCATATTGAAAAGGAAGAAGTAAAATTTATTTTTTTTCTCACATGATCTTAGGTATAGAAAATATATATATATATTTTTTAAAGATTTATTTATTTGACAGAGAGAGACACAGCGAGAGAGTGAACACAAGCAGGGGGAGGGGGAGAGGGAGAAGCAGGCCCCCCGCAGAGCAGGGAGCGCCCGATGTGGGGCTCGACCCCAGGACCCTGAGATCATGACCCGAGCTGAAGGCAGACGCCCAACGACTGAGCCACCTAGGCGCCCCTATTTTTTGTTTTTTAAGATTTTATTTATTTATTTGACAGAGAAAGAGAGAGAGAGAGCACAAGCAGGGGGAGAGGAAGAAGGAGAAGCAGACTACCTGCTGAGCAGGGAGCCCAATGCGGGGCTCGATCCCAGGACTCTGGGATCATGACCTGAGCCGCAGGCAGACGCCCAACTGACTGAGCCTTGCAGGCACCCATTATGTACAGAAAATCTTAAAAGAGTCTACTAAAAACTATTAAAACTAATAAATGAGCTCAGCAAGGTTGGAAGGGGCAGGATCAGTATATGACAATTAACTATACTTCTATATACTTACAATGAGCAATCTGAAAATGAAACAAAGGAAACAATTTATAATAGCACCGAAAAGAAAAAATATATAGGAATAAATTTAACAAGTGCTAGCTTTTTACACCCAAAACTGTAAGACAAGTGTTTAAAGAAATTAAAGAATACCTAAATAAATAGAAAGATAACAGGCTCATGGATTGAAAGACTTAATAGTGTTAAGGTGGCAATATTCCCAAATCTGATCTATAGATTCAACACAATTTCTATAAAAATCCAAACTGCTTGGGGCGTCTGGCTCAGTCGTTAAGCATCTGCCTCTGTGTGTGTGTGTAGATAGATAATTGATATTTTTTTAAGATTTTATTTATTTGACAGAGACAGACATAGAGAGAGAGGGAACACAAGCAGGGGGAGTGGGAGAGGGAGAAGCAGGCTTTCCGCTGAGCAGAGAACCCGATGTGGGGCTCGATCCCAGGACCTTGGCATCATGACCTGAGCCGAAGGCAGACGCTTAACGACTGAGCCACTCAGGTGCCCCTGGATAATTGATTTTTGACAAGTGTGCCAAGACTGCAGAAAGAATAGTCTCTTCAAGAGGTACTGAGACAACTAGATACTGGAATGCCAAAGAATAAAGCTGGATCCCTACCTCATAACACATTAAAAAATGATCTCAAAATGGATCATCTAAAACTGTACAACTCTTACAAGAAAACATAGGGGTAAATCTTCATGATCTTGGATTTGGCATATTCTCAGATATGACATTAAAAGCTTGAACAAGAAAGGAAAAAAAATTTATACTTCATCAAAATTAAATACTTTTGTGCATCAAACAATACTAGCAAGAGAATGAAAAATACAACCCACAGAATTGGAGAAAACATTTGTAAGTCAGATATCTGATAAGGGTTTGATAAGCAGACTATACAAAGAACTCTTACCACACAACAGCAAAAAGACAAATAACCCAGTTAACCCAGTTAAATAATGGGAAAAGGATTTGAACAGACATTTCTTCAAAGATATATAACTGGCCAACAAAGATATCATAAGATGATTAATATCATTAGTCAACAGGAAAATGAAAAATAAAGACCACAATGAAATACTACTCTACATCCACCAGGGTAGTTATTATGAAAAAGAGGGGAAAATAACAAGTGTGGGGGCGCCAGGGTGGCTCAGTTGGTTAAGCGACTGCCTTCGGCTCAGGTCATGATCCTGGAGTCCCTGGATCGAGTCCCACATCAAGCTCCCTGCTCAGCGGGGAGTCTGCTTCTCCCTCTGACCCTCCTCCCTCTCATGCTCTCTGTCTCTCATTCTCTCTCTCTCAAATAAATAAATAAAATCTTTAAAAAAAAAAAAGAAAATAACAAATGTGGGCGAGGATGTGGAGATACTCGACCCCATATATACTGCTGGTAGATATGCAAAATGGTGCAGCTGCTGTGGGCAACAGTTTGATGGTTTCTCAAAAAGTTAAACATAAAATTACCATATGACCCAGCAATTCCACTCTTAGGTCTATATTCAAAGGAACTGAAAATAAGTACTCAAACA